GCGGTGCGTGTAAGCGACACTTTCCGATGCGTGACGCCGAATTTATCGTAGAAACTTCTGTTCCCTGCGAACTATCGTCACGGTGCTCGAACGTGTCCGTTAATCGTCGCGATAATGCCACTTCCATGCGATAAATTTGCATACCATTGTGCGATGCATGTTTCGTTGAGACGCCGTCGAGTGCGCTTCTCAGCGACAACAGACGCGTCAATATTTTACCAGCCTACTTTATTGATATGGATAACTTACCACACTTCAATATACATAAACAAAACTTTCTTTTATATCAGAATAATCTCGTTGAGATTTCTTTTGTTTTTCGATTTTTTATTTAAATGATCATTTTCAAATTTATGTCTATGTGACATTTTGTCCATTCAATGATTTATAAGACCTATGTATTTTACATAAGAAAATGGTTCGATAAATCCTTTTTAAATTTTTCTGTAGAATAACATTATCTTAAATAGAGATGCTAAAACGAGTAAGCAGATAAAATTGTAAATTTCAAGGAAACCAGAAGTCGAATTTATAGAACCGTATTTATAGTGTTTCCAAAATGGTTCGATCAGCTCGTTTGCCAAGTAAAAGATATTTGCAGAATATTAGAAACGACACGAATCATGAGTGATCGAGTGTGACACAGAAAATGAAACAGGTCGTCATGGTCATCAACATACAAATTCCACGGTCCAAGGCGAATATAATTGAAACGCAAAATGTTTCACACGGTTTACTTAATTTTAAGTTCACAGCTGCAACTGTTTGGCTGCTACCAGCAATTCAGAATTAACTTTCAAGTAAAATTAAAATTTTGTTAAATTTAGGTTTTTCACCGTTCCTCTCCTTGATTAGAATTTCGGCATTAATAACCGGTTTTTAATCGAAGAAACGTTTCGAAGCGTTGGACAGGTGTTACGAAGTGTGCAAAGGTGTGACGTCAATTAAGTAATTATTCCACCTTCGTGTGTATGGTAACGGAATCCGATATAGCCTGCACGCGTCGAGACCGCGAATTAAAAGATTGATACGAACCAGGCGGGACGAGAATTGAAATCGCTTTTAATTGCGCACTGTTGGAAAACCATCGAGCTCGTTCGAGAAGAAATTGACACTTGTAGTGGGGAATAAAGATTACTGTTTTCCTTTGTTCTTTTCTACTCGACACTGGGTGCTATCGAGATTAATTTTTTTTTAATTATACGATGCGTTAAGATTTAAAATAAATAATTTTTTAGATTATGTTATGAGGAACGAGTTGATTGGTCAGGTACCATAAATGGACATAACAACGCCCATAAGTCCCAGAAACATCTGCCATCGTTCCAATCATACTCGTCAATTGAAAATGTAAAAAGGTTTCAGAAAAAAGTCTCTCGTTATCAACCACGATCAATGGTTCGGAAGGGTATGCAATGAAATTACACGACGAGTAACCACAGAGTCCTTTACGTGGAAACGGTTGGGAAAAGGATCCGTAATCCTGTTCGCAAAAGGATTTTAATGATTCACTCGAAGCGGATTCGTGCTTCGCGTTTCCACTGAACAGATGGCTCTGTGATCGTCGCGTCTCGTTAAAGGCTTCCCAATCGTAAAAAGCTCGAAACTAACTACGCTCATTTTAAGTTTTCACACGAGATAATGAGGTCGTTTCGTATCTGAGCCTCTGCGACTGTGTGCGACACTACCCTTGCAGTTTTATTGCTTCCTCAACAATTTGGACGATGGATACTGTCTTTTAGTTGGACGCCAGGTTAGGTTGTTACCGAAGTTACCGAATGGTTGAGATTTTACAAGGTGTTTCGGTTATTTCGAACTAAACTTTGTTCGTATATTCCATGAGTATAAACGAGGAAAAAATAGGAAACGAACCTTTGGAAATCCTAAGTTTGGAAATTTATATGCTTAGAAGATAAATGTCCTCGTATATAACAGACTTTCGAAGTTATTGGATTACCGAAAGCTTCCAACCCGAAACTAACTCAAACTTTTGAATATTTTAGTGTGAACGACCGAACCGGCGAGACGGGGATTAGCTAGTACTACGGAGCGTCTGACCGAACCGATGAGACGGGACGAAAACGACGTGTATCTTTCGAAACAAGTAGTACCTTAGGAAAATTGCAAATTCTCCATGGCGTAACGTTTCAAAAACTCCAGTATCCTGTTGAAAACAAAGCGATTGGAGATTGGATATTCGATAATGGAGTATGCTAAACATTGATGAAGCGTTCATGAAGTAATTTCCATGAAAGAATTTTTTTCCTCGCGAAAAGTAGAGCAACCAAGTAGGTGAAGCGTTCACTTGTCTACTCCACAGCTCCGGATAATCGTGTTTTAACGTTTTCCCAATTGACGCGAGATTAATCGAGCAATTCCGAGTCTAATTGAATTTCGTGCATCGCGACCGTTTCGAATTCAATAACCCAGGAATAAACTGTTTTCAATGGAGCACCGTGTGCCAGAGGATTGCCGATACATCAGCTTCCTGTACCCTCCTTTTACGCCCCCATCCGCTGTGTTTACTTGGTAAAGAGCTAATTCACTGATTTTCTGTCCCTTCGAAAGAGAGAAGTAATCTAACTGAACGAATTACACTCTATAAGTCGCTGCGCCCTATATACAGTTCTAGCTTTTGCTTTTAATCCGATTAGCAACGTTGTGCGAGCAATAACGGGTCATCGATTTTTGATGAGTGCTTATGCGAAATGGGGAAGGAAGCGGAGAAATTCGACGATATTAATTACTACGATATTTACGGTCCAGTGGACTAATTATGGCTTTGGAATGACAGAAATTGGATTTGATTGAAAGTAGATTCTTCGAGGCAAATGGAATTTTGAATTGAATGAAACCGATGACCGAAATATGAAGCGTAGGATTATACTCTTTTTCAAATATTTTAATTATTTCGTGAATCCTGAATTTATCGGTTCATATTTAAATTTCACATCCATTAAACGTGCCAGTGATTCGTACGCGTATAGTATTTATCTTTTCATCGAGTCGTGATTGTTAAGCTTGAATTTAAGTTTCCCGCCAGGAACGTCGACATAAACCGAGCCATATGCATATGTGTCAATTATTCAAAAAATGCACGTCACCTGTTTAAATAACAATTTTCTTGATCGACCGTACGCTTGATGGACGTTCATGCGCCTCACGTACACGTAACAAAAACAAGATCAGACAAAGGTGTCGTTATATATATAACGAAGGCGAAACATGTCGTTCGGGTTGCATTGTAATGCAGAGCAAGGCGCGGCACGTGTCACTGTCAGCGCGTTCACCGCGTCAAAAGTTGGGTGTCTGCGAGTGATCGAGCGCCGTTTATGCATCACGCGAGCGAACAACCGGACAATGACGCTTTGACATTGTAAATACACGACCGAAGTGCCACTGACAAGACAAATTATTGGGATCCTGGCCAACGACGCGTTTGCCGGCCCTCGTATTCTTGTGGGCATATCGACCAACTGACCATCCACCCACTCGACTTTCCTATGACGCGTCCTTTAGTGCTTTTTTCTAAGTGAAATTATTGTTTTACAACAAAAAAGGGCACTGACCAAATAGATTAAGTTATATTAAGTATAAAAATGCATAAGAACTTTGTCTTCCCTCTTTTCTTACTGTATGTAAAAACCAAAATTTCAAGTGAAACCTAACCTAACCTCAAATAAAGGATTATGAATAAAATGGTTCCGTTAACATAGATCTCAACATCAATTCACATTAAGACACTATATCAGCCATTGTGTGAATATGAAGCCATTTATAGCGAGGATTTCATTTTTGGTTTTGGATCCTAGCCATTTCCGGGATTGTCAATATATTCAGAAGATATTTCATCGGATTTTTCCTATAGCTGGTGACAGATAAAGCCATGAAATTGTTTCTCTGACACCGCCATTTCATGTGTCTTCAGATGATAATGAAGATGAAGGATTCCATTTACATCTGTCAAATTTTCAATTGCCTGCAAGGTTCAACGAGAACCCTGGAAGGTTATTGAAATATGAACGATAAAGGCTGATGAATTATTAGATAATATCCGAGAGCTGCTTTTTAGCTCATATTTTCATTAGTTACGCTCTCATTAAAAGCCTCCTTTACTCTGCCACGGTTGCTTTTAAACGTATCCCAACAGGAATCTTAATAAGGCGAGTATGGAAACTTCACATTAAAGGTCGAAAAGACGAACAAGATAATGATCTCCTTAACATATTATCGGAAAAAGGAATAATAACTACAAATACTAAAAACATAATCTAAAATCTTAGAAGATGAAACATAACCTATAATTGAAAACCTAACCTAACATTTCCAAAGCATCCAGATACTTGATCGAGACCTAAAAAATCATTACTATGATACTAATTAATCTATCTACCCTTGCTAAACAAAATGAATCAACCCTTTTTCTATAACCTCGTTGGGTGGCCCAAAGTACCTAGAACTGACAAGTCCAAATTAATGGTTGAAACGAAATAGACATAACGATGTAAGCATTCGTGTGATGAAAACTATGCAACAGTTGGCCAATCCGTGATCATCCTGGATTTATGACTGGTGGTCAGGTTGCATGCACGAGTTAGCGGTGATCCGCCAAACGTAGTGTCAAACAGATTTCCTTGGACGGAAAACCGGTTTAAAACGAGGATTCAATGGCGACGATCTGGCTTCTGGATTATCCGCGACCACTTATCACTCCTACGTCACTGACACCGTTCGTATAATGAGATTCGTTTGAACGTCGCGTCGGTGTGTTTGCTTGAAATGCTCGAAGAAACGTGGCAGCAACTGTGCAAATTAAGACACATTTCAATGGAGGACCACATTTCAATCCTAGATACTTCAAGTTTGGTTAAATAATTTGTTGTACAAAACTTGTTCTATGTATATTTTATGCAAACTTTTTCATTGCATAACGTAGATCAGCTTCGTTACTGAAAGACTCAATTAATAGTCTTGGTACTGATTTCCATTGACGTGCCTTATTTATTAACAGCCACACCACCATTTTCAAGGTACATTAACATTGATGCAAAGTACTGCTGGAAGTAATTATATGTATCTTAATAACTGCTTGCAAAAGACGTCACATCCTTATCTACAATAACTAGTATAAAAACAGTGTTCGATTTTATATCGTTGCACCTCGAACACCCACTCCTCAATGTCTCGTTTTAAATCCAATAAAAGTTTCAAATAAATGCAGGTATCAAAATTATATTAACAATTTGGACCTTTCCCACCAAGAAAAGGTCCAAATTGACCTTAGAAATTGCATGATTTTGCTAATGGCTGCATCAGCATAGTCCTACACCTTGGAGCCAGCTCCTAAAATTTGCCCATTTGAAACAGTTTGCAAAATGAGTCACCCCAGTCTCAATTCCTCAGGGATGGACACTGAAATGACATACACGTTGTTTAAGCCCATCCAGGTTAGTCATTCAGGTATCGAAAACGAAATCCTCTGGTGAACTTCTCATTCCATACATCACCCTCTTCTTCGTTGGTTCGGAGTGTGCTTTTGTGGACTGTGTGTAACCAGATGCCATGCTTCCAACCCTCTTGTGCTTACTATCTGACCTATGACGATGGTCTGATAGAGTTTTGATGGTGTTTGCTGTGCGGGATCCGTTCCTGCAATGGAGGGACGAACGACTAACGCAAGACACTGACATCTTGCTCTTGCTGTCATCCCTGTTCAGTGACGTTTCACATGATTCGATGCTGTTTGCTGAGACCATGCTGCTCTGAGTCAAGGCGGATGTTCCTTTTTTGAGCTTGACCAGGTGGCATTTCACATTGTGCAGATGGGTCCTTGATCTGGTGACTGTGAATAGGGGAATTTTCTGGGGCTCTGGGACACCATCCGTAAAGACGATGGGGACAACAACCACCTTCTCTTCTGTGGCCACCTGTATGCTCTTCGATTGGTTGGAGCTGCCCTTGGATGCGTTACTCTCTTCGGACACTGAAGGTTTCAGAAAACTTTCCATTGACTGCCCGAGGGCAATTTCCTTCTGATGAAACTTCAAGTTCGATCCTGAACACTGGACGTCCAGGTCTTTGACACTTTTCTTCTTCTGCCCTTTGGGATGCTCGTGCTTCGTGACCACTTGACTCGAACAACTAGTTGTTTGGTCCTCTACTAGTCCTAGATTTGATACCATTACGTCTTGGTCTCTTTTTGAAATTACTAGAGACGCTTGACTGTTCAGACACTTGACTGTACTGGGCCTGCTCAGGTCTGACGCAATACGTATCAAAGATGCTGCAACACTCTGGTCTTGATAACAATGGAGACTGTTATTAGAGTTTTTTGCTGAATTCTTGTGGGAACGAGGCTTCTCATCAGCAAGGAGTTCTGCGTTAACACAGGTTGTACGGACTTTAGAACTAGAATTCATTAATGATGCCCATGATGGTTTTGGTTGATTATCTGACAAATCAAGTGGAAATTCCTTCGACTTCATTGTTGACTTCTCAACAAGGTCCCTTGACTTATACAGGTTTTCGTCGGCTCGTTTGCTGAAAGCTGATGTCACTTGGCCACCTCCGCTACTGGTGCTACATCCAGCAGTGTCGTCGTAATGCGAAAGGACACAGGTTCTATTTCTGTGGCACCTATAGCACGAGCTGCTGACAGAAGGAATCAATGAGCCTGATGGATGCTTCTCTACATACTGTCCAAATTGGAAGTGGAAATTATTCAAAGTAACTCGGCTGTCATCTTCCCCAACTGTCCTATTGGTCAGCCCACTGGATAAGTTCCTTCCAACGTACCTGGAGGAATGTTTCATTGGGTTCTCATAGTGGGTATAGTCACGACCCAGAGGGACCATCTGGTTGCCCGCTGGGCAAAATGCCCTACTTCCCACATAATCTGTATCTCTAATTCCTTGAGAAGATTCGTCTATCATCTGCCTGCTTATCAACTGTATTGAGTCGTTCACTTGCGTATCCCGGCTATAAGTCTCTGTTTGATGAAGGTAATAACCAGATATGTTGGAATACGGTGAACACTGGGTAGAATGCCTTTGACTTGAGAGAAAGGGATCGATCTGACTCAGGGCACGAGCCCTACCCGATATTACGTTCAGCTGCTGCAGCAAGAAACGTAGCTCGCTCACATCTCTCTGGACACCGTCTTTGGTGGCTCTCGAGTGCGTCCTCAAAGACGCGGAAGAAGCCTCTTTCTGTGGATTTGGGGGAAAGTAGAAGGATTTAATGGACGGGTGAGGATTCTCCGCGATGTCTATCAGATCGCCATTCTCTTGTGAATGTTGCTGAGACTCGTCGTCCCTTGTGGGTAACCGAGATGACTTGGTTTTCTTCCTTTCCGATGTCTGAGATCGGTCGCTAGAGAAATCTTTATCTTCGGGCAATTCGTGAAACGTTACCTCCTTCAGACGATTCGGTGGATCGTAGTCTATGCCCTAGACATAAGGGGATTATTCAGGAAGGCGGGGTTAGGGTTTTGGAATTTTTCGAAGTTAGGATAGATTTTTTCTCTGCGTAGTTTAATAAGTTAAAGAATAAAATTGAATGGACCAAAGCTTGCTTTAAATACGCGACCATCAAAGTGTTAAAGAATACTTATAAGTCCTATTTCACAAGTTTCTCTCGCAGACACACAAAAAACACATTAAAAACAAAACGGTGCACCGGAAACAAATTGACCAAGCCCGTGATCAATACCACAGTCCGCAGGAAAGATACAGCCCCACTAATTAGAGTCTGCACAAAGGAAGAGCGGATCAAAGGGAAGTGCAATTAGAAAGAAACCAGGCCACCGGTGTTAAGGACCTATTTATCGCACGACTCGAAAACCGGCTCCAGCTCATTAATCCTTCACGAGATAATCACCTGGAGCACAGGTAGCATAGTTCTCGACTCCATCTTCTTAGCCTGGTAATTTTCTTTCGTCAACTCGGTTCTGGAACCGCCCGACAGTGTGGTCGACGTGATACTGGATCTCGAGAAGATTTGAGCCACTATCATCTTCATTTTCCTGCGACGAGCCAACGGGGACTCTGAAGAGACTACCCTGGTATCCTCTACGGTATCCTCCAATGAAGTAGTGCTTTTCAGTACCGGCATAGATTCTGATTTCGTTAGAACATTCGAGTGCAACAGACTGAAAAACTTCTCTGATGATTTTTTCTTTTTCGATTCGGAATCTTCGGTATCGTTGTCCTGCTGCGAACCCATTTTAGAACTGCTGGCCGAGAATGCCTCCTTATTGGTCGAATTCTGCGCGACTTCTTTACGAACTGGCCCCTCACTAGACGTCTCGTAATCGCCGTCTATGATTGGAAGGGGTATTTAAGTACTTATTTGAGTACTTAATCGAAGTTTTAGACTATTATCCCTACAGTTATGACATAATACGTGTCATCGACGTCATCTACTACAGGGTTAAAATAGTCACACAATTTTAACAATGACGTTATATATCTTCAAAAGCAAAATTCAATCTTCAATTTATGAAATTCGAGGGAAATTTTTAATAGAAACAAACCATCGGTCTCTGAAGCGCAAGTGGTCGTGCAGCTGGTTTTAGCCTCGACTGACATCGCACTCTGGAAGGTTAGTTATCGTTGCTGCTGCATTTCCGTTCTTCCTTGCCTTCTAACTACGCGTCTAATGCCGTCGTCGAGGGGGAGCTGTATTTTCACAGCCCTCTGTTAACATAATTCAATGGAATCGCGATAGAAACGCGAAATTCATTGACGGCCGAACCACGAGCCACACGAAAGACAGCGACATTCGTGTGTTGCTGGTTGTCGATCGAATCGAACGATTGTTTTCTCGAGATTGGTGCCGTTCGATCGCTGCTCGTTCACGGGGATTCAATTTCGTTTGTGTTTGCGCGAAATGCAAGCTTTGTATGTTGATTGGATCGTTTGTTAGAATATATTGGGGGATTATTGGTGATTTGAGGTTATGTTTGATGGGAGGCGAGTGCTGATGGATGCTCGATACTCTGATTACAAATTTTCAAGCTGTTCAAGCACAACAGAACTTCGAATTATTTGAATAATTATTATAAATTATCTTTTGGCTGAATATTTGTTATGAAATTTATTATTCTTTGTTTATACTTTAATTAAATTTTAGGTTATAATAATATTTAATGTATTCCCAAAGTACTGTAGACCAACATTTTTGAAAATTCAATTTAGAGAGATAGAATTTAATTTTTGATCGACGAACTCTTCATTCAAATAGAATTACATACGAGTTTCATTCTCCAGCGACAAAATCGAATGGCGGTTTCGATCGGTTTTCAGTTCCAATCGTCGCAAAGGTTTTATTATGCATCGTGCCCAATCAAAATGCATAACCGGCTGCATTCGATGCAACAACAAAAGTGCCCAGAGGCTTTAACACACGAATGGACGAGAAGAGAAATTTATTCGTGACGATATTTCGCATAGGATGGATGCATTTTGTTCGACATCGTTATTGAAAATTCCAGTTTCACGCGTGGCTTGTAAGCCAAATGAATTCCATTTCTTCGATTAACACGATTGACAAACTTTTAAAACGAGTAAAAATAGTTATGAAAAATTGTCAAATACAAAAATAGTTTTAATTTGATTTTGCATTTATATTATTTATATTATTTGATATTATTGTTATTTGATATTATTTTCACAATAGGGAATCGATCAAAGGAACTCTAAACGGTCGTCTGTGTTAATATTTTTCGACATAAATTCTAAACGATGGTTATTACAGGCGTAACTGCGCATCGACTATCTTGGTAGAGCAAGTTGGCAGATGTCCACCATGTATACCATGTATGATGCACAGGCCATCGTAAATATGAATAATGATCGTGATACCGTAAATTATATGCGTCTGGATGCTCTAAAATAATCACAAACAAACCTCTATGTATATATGCAATCACCAACACGCGTTAGAAACTTTTTAGAATTTTGTATCTGAGTGTGTTATTTGATCAAACACGACACGAATAGCACTCTGATATTTAATACAATAAGGAAAAAAGGTAGAGTCTCGTCGAGGAGGAAATATTCAATCGTTTCCTTGTTTTCTCTTCCCTTTGTCAACGTTTCTCTCGACCCACATCTTCGGTGTTCGAGTGCATTTATACGAGCCGTGCAATCTTTCAGACAGCTATATCCAAGTATTATATAACATTCCACGCTTTTCACGGTTGCTTTTATTCAGAAATTTCCTGGAAAATGTATCGCGACAGAATCGATACCGTGTTACGTGTCGTCGAACGAGGTCCATTCTTGAGAGAATTCTCTTGAAAAAGCAAATACACTGTCGGGATATTTGCATGGAATATATCGGGACGGACAAAAGGAAGCTCGTTTTCAGAACGTTTAGGAATTCGTTTTCTACCTTTTGTCAAAAGCTTCCCCGCGGCGTAACTGCGTTTCCTGTCACTTCCCAATGTTGCAAAACTTTAAAATTGCAAAAATAACAACAATGATTATTTTAGACTATAAACTGTTACATTTGGCATTGAATTAAAAAAATTGTTTTAATTGCTACGTGTCCTCCTCGTTGCCCTATGGCAACTACAGCCCTTCAGGAGGGCCACATATAAATGCGAGGGATCAATCTCAATCCGCCATTTCAAACCCAACAACTATGATACAAAAGACTTTGTTACACTCGCTCACTGCAAAATACTTGGTCAAATTGCTGGAACACGCGTTTGACACACGATACATCATCGAAGCGACTGCCACTCTTCCCAGATGCTGTCCAGACCTATCAGACGCGGTGGTGTACGTGTGTCCCACAACGCGGAATCGGCCTATTTTCAACGATTGCGGTTACATCACGGATTGACGGGATCGGATGAAGCCTGTCGATGAAAAATCAGAAGCAGGCCATCCAAGACAGGGCGTGTGCGATCGTTCATTCAGTGAAAGTCATCTAAGACCTGGTATATAAAACCGACCCGTGTAACAGAGGATGGCACACTCTTGGTTCACGTAGAAGACAAGCAACAATGAGGATCTTGATAGTAAGTAAACGATCGATACTGAGTGATTAAGTGATTATTTCAAGAGGATCGTGGTCGTTGAGGTTAGGTCTGGATTTTTGAAGGTTAGGTCAGAAGAAGTGAGGTTAATTTCATCTTACAGTGTTATTTCTAAAAACACTTAACAGCCTTCCAATTACTTCTATAAATATCTAAACCACCATTTCACTTCAGTCATCATCATTATTTAACATCATTTCGAATCGAACATCAATACTCTGCAATTCTATGTCAACAATTTCTCTAAGAACCAAAGTGTTTTTTTAAAGACTCTAGTATTTGTCTTTTACACTATTCTACACCAGAAGTTAGATTCAATTCTTCTACTTGACCCAAGGGTAAGTTCACGTTTCAGCTACGTGTACCCATCCAGAACATCCATCGATTCCGGAAACTTCCAAACTACTATTTCCAAAACTCGAAACCAGATCTAATCGTTTCACAGTTCTGCCTTTTGGCGACGGTGGCATTCGTAACCAAAGCGGAACCACAGCAACAGAAGACAAAGCGTGGGGTGCTATTGGGTTCAGGAGGGCTGGGCGGATCGTTGGTCGGACTGGACCTCGGCAACAGTCTCGAATCAGCTGGAATTCCTGGAGGATACACGAGTGGACTGTCCATTGGTACATATGGAGGGCTCTCGAACGGAATTTCCGGGCTTACCGGAGGATATGGCTCAAATATCGGCGTAGGAATAAATGGAGGGCTCTCGACAGGTCTTACTGCTGGAATTTCTGGAGGGCTGAGTACTGCCAACGTTCAATCCATCGCTCAGCAGGTTCCAGTCGTTGTTCCTCAACAGTATCCTGTGTCCAGACCCGTTTCTGCCACTTACTACGTTCGACAGACTGTCCCCCTCATCAAGAACCTACCTGTCCATGTATCCCAACCTGTTCCAATCGCTGGGTCACAATCCATCAGAGTTCCAGTACCAGCTCCTCAATCAATCCCTATTCAACAGACTGCCCCTCAGTCTGTGCTTCTATCTAGTGGGTCCAGCCTAGGTTCTAGCCTCGGATATACTGGTCATGAGTCAGGAATTAATTCTGGAGGACTTAGCCCAAGTCTGGGTGCTGGACACATCCCTGGAATCCACCTTAACTCTGGGATCGACACAGGACTGACGTCTGGAATTGGTTCTGCTTATGGCTCGGGTCTGAACTCCATTGGTTCTGGCTTAGGACATGGATCATTTTTAAATTATGGATCTGGACTGGGTCTGAACTCTGGATATGGTTCAAGACTTAGTTATGGATTTGGATCGGCTGGTATCCCCTCTGGTGGTGGACTGAATAGTGGATATGGGTCTGCATTTGGATGGACACCTGGAACTGGCCTTGGTCCTTATAGCACGGGGTTGACTGACAACCTTGGTTCTGGGTATGGAGCTAGTTATGGGTATTCTACTTCTGGCTCCCTGGACCAAAGTGGTATCGTCTTCAGGAAATACTGAATTAATCAATCAAGATAAATCGAAATGTATTTTGTACAGTTGGCAATATCGATGTAAATCCTTTTCCTTAAATGTTGTGCTTTATACATTTTTAATAAAAATATGTTTTTGTACGATAAGTATGAAGTTCTAAATTTGCAAGTAACCCATTTTTTTGTGACTATCTTCATTATCCTGTCATAAAATGAACGTAAATAGGTGTGCAAAGTATTATTGCACACGAAATGGTGGGGTGCATTAAGACACCGATGCATACACGAACAATGGTAATTTTTCAAGCCGATCGGTCAATATGAAGCTCACGTGGGGTGGAATTGCGTCAGCAAAGATCCTTTCGCGTCACACAAATTAAACGAATCAGGTCATGATTTCGAAACTAGGTTTCACCCCTCTCTGAACGAAGGACGAGAACCAAATTTGTTCGATGGTCACATCTGTGTTAGATGCAATCCAAGTAACTCTTCCTTGAGGTGTGTATCTTAAGTTGGAAACCCTTTCCAGCTGTTGGAATTTCTTTATCGATAAGAAACGATCAATACAAGTGTTTCAAGTTTATATTATTCGTGTATTTTGCAAACTGAACCATTCATGCCATCTAGCAATGAGCAAAGAGACTGACGATAAAGAAAATCTTTTTTTTTTGGTGGGAAATTGATGACTTTTACACCTTACAAGGATAAATAGAACGTTCTTGATTTTTTATTTTCCATTTCCCACAGAGTGCGCCATAAAACAGATCCTGAAAATGGCGCTATGAGCCAGGTCGGTATGGCAGTTTATGGGATACGAATTTTCACGATGGGTAGTTCATCATAGAGGCATTTAATCGATGACTGTAATACACAGTCGGTAACATGCATTTTTTTTGCATAATAACTGTTTATAATGCATGCAAATTAATGGAACATCATTATTCGAAGCAAATTATCATCATAAAAGGAATTGCCAACTTTAGATAGGCTGGAAGAGTCCATTTTTACAGGACAAGGCTGCAAAATTTAGTTTCCATTAGTTGGTTCTTCTACCACTAGATGGCTGGTGCATTCCTTGGTCTATCGGGTATTTTTTTTTTTAATTTTCGAAATTAATGCTTTAAACGAATTACAGTTTGTCCATAAAATATTTTACTGATCCTTAGGAATCATAAAAGGTACTTTCTTCAGAAAGAAATGCAATTTTCTATTTGGTCAATTTTACCACCCCTCGAAAGATGGCGCTCGCAGTATTGTTTTCAAGGTATATAATGATACAACATCAAAAAAAGTATGAAGTCAAAACTTATTTTGCAAATTAACT